ATCATTGTCATTGCCATCTAAGCTGAAACGCATTAGTTGTTTGATTGTGGAAGTCAGGAAAATAGCAAACGACACATTATCAGCACGGCTGGAATAGAACAGGCGGAGCAAATCGGCAATAGGAAAATAGCAGGCCAAGAAGGCAAGCAATTAGCCAGTCAATTACTGCTGTGCTCAGCTCAATTTCCTAATTAATACTGCAAACAGAGATGTTAAATGGCATTGTCTGAAAAAAATATATAGACACACACAGTTAAGTTACTATTATCATTAACACTGATCATCAAACAGGGTGCTACCTTCTGATAAACTGTTGTCTTGTAAATTGAAGTGGCAAAGAACATTTCCTATGAAGACAAAAGGCAACCAAAATAAATTACCAATTAGAATTCTGAAACCATAGACAAATTATAGATCACAGGGAACATTTTGCATATTACATTTTATTTAAAAAAATATTTTTATAAAAATAAGGCCAGGCCTGAATTACCAATGAAAAAGTCACAAACACTAATGGTAATGACAACAGTGTGTTGGCCAGAGGTCTGCTGCTTTAGCTCAATGGAAACTTGCCATTAGTGGTTGAACAGTTTACTGACTTCAGGCCTACATTCCCAATACATCTTAGAATGCTACAACCTGGTAATGACTTGCTCCTGGTATTCCGATGATTAGAATGATGTCTATAAGGTACAATACATTGTGAAACCATTAAAGCAGGGAAAAGAGATGGTCTCTGACCCAACTCTTTTCGTAAATAATCAGTACACTTTTCATCCCTCATGGCACAGGTTTCAGTCTTTGTCCCCAAAAACAAAGTTTTATTCATGCTTCTATAAGACTGCTGAATGCTCAGTGCTCATTAATGTTGAATGTATGTTTCAATGTATACCTGTTTACGCATCACTGAACTCTACTGGGTTTTTCTGTCTTATGTCCCTAAGAAAGAAGAATCAGAAGACTATGGTTTTAAAAATATGTCAGAGAGATGTTATGAAGCGTCAAAAACGTGTGTGTGTAATTTCACTATTTCAAACATTTAACATGCTTCGGGGTGCACGATCCTTTTCAAATTTATGGACATATCTGTTTTGGTCATCTCCAGGCTGTAGTACTTGACCAAGAGTAAGCTTCAAGGTGCAGTATAGTTTCTTCAAGGTACATTTGCAAAATTACACCAGCAATCCATTAAAATAAATGTATAATACAGCAGTAACATGGCAGCTATCATATTACATTGTTCTGGTAGGAAAACTTTATGGTACAATTTTTGGCCCACTTTTGACATGTGGTTGTCCCTCATCTGGCAGCAGTGAGAGAGCTGAGAAATATTGTCTTCTGGTTGAGCTTCATTGCTCCCCTCGTCCAGAAAATCAATACTGATTTACCACCCATTTATAACTGCTCCCTCAGTGAGCTTACAATATATACATTAACCTACAGTAAACTGTACTGAATATATACTCATATGTCAGAATTTTAGAAATTCTATCAAGAAACACATTCGAATTCTGTTGCTGGATAGAGACACCAGACAATTATTTTGTAAATTGCCACCCTGAACAGGATGTACTGTGAATTTCACAAGACTTTGAAATATTTGCAGCACCGTCCCATCCTAATTTTCAAGCACATCTGCCTTCAGCTGAGGTTCTGATGAGGGTTTTGTCACACGAGTGGTGTGAGAGTGACATGCAGGTTCCACTGGTTTGACCAGTTTTCAGTAGGAGTGTCGTCTGAGGACTGCTCTAGCCAGGGAAGTGTCTCACGCCCCTAATCTCAACCACACATTTTACCAGCCACTGAGAATCCATTCAGGAACAAAGGGGTTCCTGACATTGTTAATATTGACTGCATTATAATAATGTATGGACAGTGTGAAGTAAAACTGAAATCACAAAAGTTGTTGTGAAAACTATTTATGTTTTCAGTAGTGTTGTATCCGTAGTAAGGTTGAAGGATAGAATTTGGGGTTAGTGGAGAAAACATTCACTAGAATGGCCTGAGCTCTAACTCTTCATTACTGAATGAACAGCACAATGCCAGATAAAAGAAATTTCTGACCAGGCAGAACAATACTCTCAGCCTACTGGGCCAATCAGCACATTACACATCCTTCTCTAATAAGTGACAGAATAAGTACCAATTTACAATACATCAAATAACCCTAAAATTAATTTTCTGTAGAGCATGGGGGAACATAATATAGGGATATAGGAAAAATATAACTTCTAACTCAGCAATAATGAACAAACAACACAATGCCCACTAATAGAGCTTTCTGACTGGGTGTGAACAAGTCAGGACACGCAATAAGCACACTGCACAATATTCTCATATACCTATTGGATGACTACCTATTTAAATTAAAATTCAGTGATAATCTCGTAAATAAACAGTCATTTCAAATATGTAGCAGCTAGAGACTGGTTTTGCCTTCAGTGTGGCCATGTCTTCACTGTGCTCTTGTTGTTGTTTTTTACCTTCATTTTAACTGACATTTCAACTGACAGGTCTGGTCACTGTTATGATGTGAAACATCACGAAGGTAAAGGCTAAAGCCTTTACATAAAGGCAACCACACATCTAATCAGAAACACTGCCACCTATTGGTATAAATGTAACTCCATGTCAGTGCAAACTTTTGCAAAGTTTTGTTACTTTGAGGACAAGAACAATTTTCTAAATAATAGTAAACAAAACTACTATGGTTAATTACAATACTGCTACTGAAATAAAAATGCATTTTGGGTCTAAAACACAAAAACGTACAGTATGCTGTTTTATAATGTGACAACTTTATGATTTACTTTAAAAAAATAATTTAATGCAGTTGATCATTTTTGTCATTTAAAAAGGCTTTTAAAGGGTTTTTTTTTCTTTTCATTTTCAGGCAATAATGGACTTAAGAATGGAAATCATTCGTTATTCTGTTTAGGCTGCCAAAACATTTCTATCCTATTTGCTGTTTATATATTTGTATTCTGTGCCTTTACTAGATCATGCCAAATATTCAACAACCTTTAAGAATATTGATTAAATTAACATCTGAAAGTTTGTTAAGGATAAAACAGGAAGTGAAGTGAAGTCCAAAACAAAATGAGACAGGATTGTGAATTATATTCAAAGGAGCACATTTTTAAATATGTCTAAATCTTGATGTTTTTTTCCATTATGTTAGTAACTCTATAAGACTAAAATTCATTTAATAGTACTGGAATTGAAATTCAATACTGTGCCTTCTTATTAATGGATAAGAAGAAATGGAGCGTTAACTACTATAATTAAAATAGGGATTTTTCTTTCTTTTGTAAAAGAATGTGTACCATATCAGCCTGAGTCAAGACACTAGTGTTTAAAACACTGTAACCTGAATAGCACTAGGTAGTGTATTTTCTAGAAATAATCTATCTTTAAACTGACTTTCCCAAGACTAAGGAGGATATGAATTAAGAATACCTGTGCATCCTAACTAATAAAAAGCATAAAGTAGCTATATTCAGAACAAATCAAGACTGGGTTCCCTGTGCTGTTCTGAATTCACAGGTGTGGCTGCAGCAGGTTTCTATCAAACTACAGATTCCCCTTCCTCATTGCGACAAAAACGGTAATTAAAATGACAGAACAGCAGCTGTGGTGTTTACGGCATTCTCCTGTCTTGTTCTTCCTGTTTCCTGCAGTCATGGCAGCTTTGGGCAAACATTTTTTATTCTCTTGTGCTGTGTTGTTGTCGACCAGTGGGGACATTTTATATATTGTTTCCCTTCTACTTCCACATACAGTATGATGTAAATGTTCTATAGATTGTAAGTATAAGGGTATCTGCTATAGAAATATAAGCATGATGTTAACAATAATAACATTTGAGGAAACACACCGCAGCTATAATGATCCTCTCTGTGTTTATGTGTAAGTCAGTAAAACCTTATCCTTCATGCCATCAACCAGATAAGCGTAAAATTAATTTTATGGGGAATTTGGAATGCTGGGTAGCACGGTGGTGCAGTGGTTAGCATTGCTGCTTCACATCACTGGGCTTGAATTCCAGACCTGGGGTGCTATCTGTGTGGAGTGTGTATGTTCTCCCTGTATTAGGTTTCCTCCAGGTGCTCTGGTTTCCTCCCAAAGTCCAAAAAATATTTGGTAGGTTAATTGGTTTCTGGGAAAATTAGCCCTGATATGAGTGTTTGTGTCTGTCCGCCATGTGATGGATTGGTGTTCAATTCAGGATGTATCCTGCCTCCAGCTCTGAAATGGATGAAGAGTTTAGAAAATGAATGGATGGACATGGGATACTTAAGAGAGAACATCATAAGAGGATATACAGTATTGAAAAATTACTGATCTATCATCAATCCAAATATAAATAAGGGATGGTCGAAATAGAAAAAAAAATCTACTTCAATTTAATTTAATTTTTGAAACTTAAAAAGTTTTGAAAATGTGGTGTATATTGATGTTTTTTAAGAATCCATTAAAGACTGTAATCACTGTGAATGCATTCTGAGACATGTATTCATCTCTGAGACATTAGCATTCAGACAGAATGATGTTCCTAACTTTAGAAATCCATAATTGTGATGGAGTCCACCCACTCAGTTCACAGAAACAATCTACATAGCCTTTTCTTTCTATGGCATTACAGAACATGACCAGTTATGTCCAGTTAGGTCTGCTTAGGGTCCTCGTTGTATGTCCAGTTTTCTAGTTAAGTGGCTGAATGAATTAAGCTGTATGAAATCAACTTCCCTTTAGAATTTAACAACAAAGGTTTAAAAATAGAAACACATACAAATACTCGGTATTAGTGTTTCCATTATTTTCTATAACCTCTACACATGTACAGTAACAACATCTCTATTTCATCTAAAGAGGAAGCCAGCTTTCATCAAAATAGTGGAACTTGAAAAGAACAAAAGAAGTTTAAAAACATTAGAAACAAGAAGTTGATTTTTTTTTGTTAAATAAACAAGAATGAACAACACCCCCACTGAGGAAAACAGGTACTTACTTTGTAATTTATTTGTGCTTTTGGATTAAACAGGGCTGTGAGTTTGTCACCATTTAATTAGGAAACATTTGCTATGCAAGCATATACGGTAATGTATGTATATTTCTTAGATGGCTTGCTTTTTCTTTATAACTTATAATATCTAATTTATATAAAGATTGAACCTTGCACAGATAATGTATATTATAAACTTTGTCATTGTGACTGCACTTGCCTTCATAGAAGTAATATGTTTTCACTGTGCTTCGAAAAATCCTGTCCTGTGCTTATGATATGATTTTAACCACATTTTGGTAAGAAAAGTAATTTATTTAAGCAGAAAACAAACAAAGCTAATCCAATAAAAATCTAGAATTGGAGGACTACCGCACTTATAACTGCTAACAGGTGAGAAAATAATGAAGAAAAGAACTACATGGACTAGAAGGTTTCAAAAAATGGTATATCACTCCAGTCCTAGCCAGGCTTCACCAATTCTGTGGCTCCAAGTGAAATCTAATATGTTTACATTTAGTCTGATTTTGCAGAGTATAGAATACTAAGACAGAAAGAGTGAAAGTGACCAGTACTCATGCCTTTAATGTGAAAGTGTGCCAGGCATGGGTTCTCTAAACATCTCTAAGTTTTGTTTTTATTCAAGGACAAAACAAAGCTTTAGGCAGATCTAGAACCTGGAAAGACTAGTTCACAAAGCAAGATCGCAGCAAGAGAAAACTCAGATCTTCACAGAAGCATTTCCATCGTCTGCTCCTGCAGAATATAAAAGAGTACATGGGATAATTTCATTTTCCATTTTACCACAATCCTGAAAAGTCTTACATTTCTATGGATTCTGTAATGGAGTAAGATCTGCTGATATTAAGCCTTCTATTTTCTGAAACCCAGTACTACACAGAAATGTGTTGCATGATGATAATACTTACATAAATCAGCAAAATTAACCCACATAATACCACAGTGCCCAATGAATCCACATAATACAAAATACACAGATTTATCTACTACTGTACATAGGTCTCTACTTATCATAACTGCTGTTCTTCTCATTCTATCAACTACTGCTACCCAAAAACCTGCTAAACACACAAATGCTTTGCAGGATGTGTGAAACCCTTTTATAAACAGTTAATCATAATCCTTACATCGGTATTCATCATAATGGATTAGGCTTCTAAGCAAAAGCAGCTGCATTCCTGTAAGCAAAGGAGCTGGAGGAGGGGCAGGTCAGTGAGAAGGGGTAAGATGAGGATTACTTTAATAAGGGTTAACAAAGGCTAAACTATCCGAAAAGGTCACTTTCAGGTTTTAGGTGTCATCATTTATTTCATACATTGATAAATCACTGTGCGGCATGCTTCTTCCCATTTTTTAATCTGTTTATCCAATACAGGGTCTTCAGGGGTGCCTATCCTAGCAAGAAATGGGCCCAAGGTAGGAGAATATGACACCAGTCCTTTGCAGTGTACTCAGTCACACCAGGGCCGGTTTTCCTAGCAGCCAATTAACCTACCAGTATGTCTTTGGACTGCATGAATAAAATCTATGATGTAATTCTAGTGCTATAATAATTCCTTGCATTTGTATATCACTTTTCATTCTGAAGGATCTCTCATTTCTTTCACTTATAGGGGGGACTCACTTCTTTCGTCACTGAGATGCAGCAGCTACTGTACCTGCATGATGTGTGGCTGCCATTTTATCACCTAGCAGGCTCACTGCACAGCATATCAGAGAGAAGCAAGAAATATCTTTACCAATTGAATTAAGGGGGAACTTTAGGTGAGCCAGACTGTACAAGCCCAAAGCAGAACTTAGCCATGAAACCAGCCCCTTTAAAGAGTCCCATGACATCTCTAATGATCAAGTTGTCAGGACCTTGGTTTAACATCTCATCTGAAGAATGGTGCCAACTATTTGGTCACACTTCTGTGGTCTGGATTTGCAACAGCAATTTTTCCGTTAGAGGTCTCCCATTTTGCTTTTGACCAGGCCCATCATTGCTTGCTTCTGAGGTCTGACAAGATAAAGCAGAAAGGTGGTAATGCAGCACTTAATAAATGATAATGTGTTGTGCTATATACCACACATACCTCACAGCTTAGGGAAACAGAGGAGGCCAGAGACTATACAATGCAAATACATCTTCACATGGTTCTAAATGGAGGAAGAAAACATAAACAGGCTGATTGTAACCATGACTAAGATAAAATGTCATTCTAATTAAATGGCTTATTGCTCTCTTCACCTTCTTTGAACAGAATTTCACACCACAATCTCACTATCTGAAGCAAACACTTGATATGTTATGATGTTATCTCAATTGGTAAAAACTAGCAGCATTTAATAAACCCATTTATCAGCTACACTGATGATGAATGGTTCTTTAGATCTCACAATAATTTTTTTTTCTAGTGAAAATAGAATAAAAAAGCACTCCTCTTTCCTGTTTATTATGTGATCAACCAGACAGAACGGATCATGTCTATAGAATACCTTCCTCATTTTATGAACACCTGACAACGAACATCCATGATGTTTTAGCTTGGCTGATTTTTTAGAGGCCCTCCGCATCTAATTTTTCTTTTTTCTGTGCACGGAAGTGACATTTATTTTATCTTGAGTCTTAGTCCAATTTTTGATCCTCAAGGGTAGTTTTAAATGGCCTTGTCTAGACTGTTTTGATTTTGAGTTCTTTCTACAAAAACATATGCAACCTTCAGAGTAGGTTACCATCAACATTCATCAGAAGAGTAATCAAACACCTTGTGCTGGTAATTGAAGATTACAATCCTCTGTTTTGTGAGAAGAATGAACTCGTGCACATTTAATATTTGGACATTTCTTTCATGGCACAATCACCTCCGAAGTGCTTGCATTTAGCTTTCTCCTCCCATACTCTACCTTCCATACCAGATCACTCAGATGTATAAAGGGTCAAGGCACCTGGTCCAAAGGCCAGTTGATGTCTTCCAGCACACTCAGCTGAAAAAGGAAAAGGAACATTTTTAAAGTCTCTCACAGTCAATGACCAGGTGTAACATAACTATTTATGGATAAACAAAAACGAAAACAGGTAATGGCATTATTGTCAGATTTTGGTACAGCTTCAATATGCATAGCGGCCTTTTCTAGTATGACATAGAGTATATAATATTGACTGTAAATGTTTAAACATCTGTGATGAACTTGAATTGTAGAGTTTATTTATGTCTTACTATATTGCTCTAGGAAATGAAATATGATCTTGATTGTATTAAGGTCAAAATCATTCTTAGACTAAACAGGAATAATCAAGCAATGTAAAATCTAATATTCTTCAGTGTTTAAAAAGATGCTGTCTGATTTTGCAAGACTTGTGCTCCCCTGACTGTAGCAGAAGGTACTGCACCATTGACAAGACTATGAAAGCACTGATTCTTCAGCTGCTAATAACTCTCTCAATGAAGCATCTGGTGAATCAAAGCAGGCCTGTAAATTGTAGTTGCACAATGCAACTGTATATTCTAGGTAAATTGAGAATGAGACAAACTTCTCTTTTGTAAATCACCCTGGTCTGATTATTGCTGAACTTCTGTTAGCAATTCAGAAACAATTCCATTTGTTGGAAAAAAAAACACAGTACCCTCCACATTTCATCAGCCATCACAAGAAACTTTATGTGCGCCACACTGTAATTTCAAACTGTCACTGCCACTTGGAGTGGAGCAACAGAGATAAACAGTGACAGGAGTCAGAAATTATTGTGAAAACTGTAGAGGAGGCATTTTCAGAAATCCAGCGATTGAAACTGAAAAATAAAAAAATCCTTCTCCTACCTCTAGACAGGGTGAATCCGAACGTCATTTACAACAGTAGTATTTGCAGTACCTACCCATTGAAAACTAAGATTAATGTTTTCTTCATACAACACAACATGAACCATCAGAGTTAACTGACAAACGTCCATTAAGCAAAGATGTGACACATATTTTTCAGAGCAAAATTACTTTTCTGCAGTAAAAGGCATTTATTCATGCGACACCTGCATCTCCTTACTATTCTAATTAGTATAATTTGCACCTTTAATTATCTTAACTCCATCAATTAGTGAAGCAGTAAAGTGGGGGCTGCAGGTGTTGTTGACATTTGTTAAAATAGAACTAATAAAGGAAGGAGACTGAATGAAGGTGTTGTTATGATGGTTTCTCATTGCAATTGTTGTTAGAAAATGAAACTATGAATAAAAAAATGATGAGATCATTTTCTTACTAGTTATTTTTTCATTTTGTTGTCAGTAGCTGTACATTTAAGAAATAGTGAGGGTCAGATTTGGTTGGTTTTTCAACCCAGTAGTTCAAACCAAACCCCCTAAAATGTAATGCTAATTGATGTAATGTAAGTAATAATAATAATTGCTTACACTTATATAGCGCTTTTCTGGACACTCCACTCAAAGAGCTTTACAGGTAATGGGGTCTCCCCTCCACCACCACCAATGTGCAGTATCCACCTGGATGATGCAACGGCACCCATAGTGCACCAGAACGTTCACCACACATCAGTTATCAGTGGGGAGGAGAACAGAGTGATGAAGTCAATTCATAGATCGGGATTATTAGGAGGCCATGATTGGTAAGGGCCAATGGGAAATTTTGGCCAGGATGCCGGAGTTACACCCCTACTCTTTTCAAGAAACGCCCTGGGATTTTTAATGACCACAGAGAGTCAGGACCTCGGTTTTACATCTCATCCGAAGGATGGCGCCTGTTTTTACAGTATTGTGTCCCCCTCACTATACTGGGGCATTAGGACCCACATGGGTCCCACAGGGTGAGCACCCCCTGCTGGCCCCACTAACACCTCTTCCAGCAGCAACCTTAGTTTTCCCCAGGAGGTCTCCCATCCAGGTACTGACCAGGCTCACACCTTCTTAGCTTCAGTGGGTTGCCAGGTGTGAGTTGCAGGGTAATATGGCTGCTAGCTCATTGATCCAGGTTAAGTTTCCAAAGTGCCCTGCACCTTAGTTTTGATCATTTTCAAGTTTTTATCACACTTCTTTTGATTCTAAGTTTTTGATTTAGTTAATAACCAGACTGCAAGCATCATAAGCAGTGTACATGAGGGGTTTTCAAGCCCTGAGGGTCATCAGAGACTGTACAGTGGGTCCCACAGGTCAGTATGTAAAGTATCTGTATCTCTGTCTACTGTATCTATCTATTGTCACACACTGGATCCCTTCTAACAGCAGCATTATTTTTTATAATTATAGACATCAGTTTGAATTCATATTAGGATCTGACAAAGTGATTCCCTGAAAAGTTAAAGAGCCAGAAAACGTTGAATAACTCTGATTTAGATTTAAACAATTTTCAGCAAAGAAACTTGCTGAAATGTTGGCTTTCTGTTTAGGAAAGTAATAGTGTTTTTTTTATTTACTTAGAACATCCATTCATCATTTACCTACCACCTTATCCAATTCAGCATCACAGGGTAGACTATCCTGGCAAGAAATGGGCGCAGGCAGGGTACGCGCTGGGTGAGACTCCAGTTCATTGCAGGGCACACTCAGACAAACACCGTAGCCAATTTCCCGAGGAGGCAGTTAACTTGCCAGTACGTTTTGGACTATGGGAGTTAACCCACACAAAAAACACAGGGTGAACAAAAAAAACTTCACACAGATAGCTCCCTAGGTCCAGATTTGAACGGAGGGCCCCAAAGCTGGAAGGCAGTAACACTAACCACTACACTACCATGCCACCCTACTCAGACTATAAATTATGTATTATGTGTTTTAGTAGTAGCAAAATACATAAAAATCAATATATTTGAAGATCTCTTTCCCAGGAAAAAAAACGTTTCCAATCTTTAACCAGCCCCAGAATACCTCTGAGCATCAGCTCTGTATCTGTATCCACTCCATATATGTACAGTATCTGTTTCTGTATCAACTGGATCTGTATCTGTATCTATGAACATGACTTTTACATTTTCCACACTTACTGGATGTAATTTTGGATTGTATTTTCACACGTAACACAAATAAATTTCAGCCAACAACGCCAAATGGGGATTCTTTTAGTTTATAAAATGAAAACAGCAAAGTTGCTCTTAGCAAAAGTCTAAGCATGTGCTTAATGATTCCGATGTGCTTTCTAAGCGTGGTATTACTTTAGGCTTTAACATCAGCATAAAATTTCAATTTAGTAGCAGCAATAAAGATTAGTAAAACAAAAAAATATTGCAGAAGTTACACATATATAAACCTGGGTATTAGATTCTGTGTGCAACAGCTGCAGATGGGAAATCCAGCAGAAAAAAGTTCTCAAACCAATTTATCTAAATTCTCAACAGATGTCTTCAGTTTTCCAAAACATGTTAACTGAAAAACAAGTGCAGACTGCAATCTAAGAATGATATGTTCATTTTATCCTGACCATTAAAATCTCTCCCTTTTGTTTGTTAAAAACATCTGTACATTCCTGTTCCTACTGAGCCTTTTAATAAGGTAAATAATGGTCTTTGAATAATTAGATAAAACAAAATAATCATATGTAAGCACCTTCTGCAGATTTTTAATATAATTTTTAAAAGGTTTTGATCTATTTTGAAGAGATAAACTAATTGTGTTTTCGCTGGGTAACGTTATGTATTTTTTTCTTGTTACCATGGAAGCATAGGATTTTACCAAGGGAAAAAATGTACGATAGCCTTACTGACTCTTAGGTAAATTATATGTATATTGAATAAAAATCCCTTAAAATAATGGCTTGAAATCCATTAGTGTCCTGTCTTTCCTCTCATACATTTTCATATGTACATGTGTTTAAATTTCAAAGAAAAAAGTGAGCATGATAATAGAGAATGCTTTTGATTGAAAAAAGAGCTCTGAGAAAATGATAAAGATATTATACTGTCAGTTATGACTTTTAGTGCTCATGGATATGCTGAATTCTGTCCTAATGCTTAGGCAACACAAGGATTCAGTGAACATTTGGGGAAATTCAGATGTGATTTTGCTGGATTTAAAAGCCTGTGCTCTCACCCTTCGTTCAAAATAGATTACTTGCAATAAACAACATTTGTTAGGCAGTGACTAGAAAGAGCACAGTGCAGCAATTTACTTGATTAATTGAATAACACTGACTCACTGTCTCTTTCATGGCAGTAGGCTTCTAAGAACAGCACAGAACGGTATCAAGATTATGGGCAGAATACCAACAAACAAATAGCAAACTTAAAGTTTATTCAGAAAACCCTCTACTTCTGGATGACTGATATACCTGCCCACATTATCTGGAGGATTCATACAAACATCTTTGTCATCTGCCAACACTCGGTAATTGATAACAGATGCAATAGGAATCATTTGGAGAAAAAGTTACAAAGGACAATGTCTTGAAAACATATTGCAATTCACTTATATATGCAATTCTTGTTCTTCCAGTCTGAAAGACAAGTGGCCTTGAAGCCTAGGCCACTGATGACACTTGATTTTCAGCTAAGAATAACTGTTCTTGATCATAGAAGGGCAACAAATTGGGAGGGTGCATTTTCTAGCCAATATGCAGGCCTCCAAGAGACGGGAAAGAGCCTTCTTTGACGGTCTTGACAGCTCTGCCACAGACACAATTATAGGCCAGCAGTACTACATTGTATTGTTGCTCATCCAAAACCCTAATTTACCCTTGTCTATTTCCCAGCCTGAAAATATCTGCTTCCTATTTCTATTTCCTCATCTTTCAAAACGGTACCACATTAAAGTGTTCTTCACTGAGCATCTGGATTCCTTAACCTACCATAGCGAGATCCATCGCATACAGTAAACACTTATTACATGCTAATGTTATACAGGTCAAGACCATGTTCTTGAAAGCTAGATGAAAAATGCACTGCTGGGCATTGTTTTGCTGAACCTTATCTGTTCAATACTTGCTGTTATACTTTGAAGGCTACTACAATCAGCATGCAAAACACTCCATTTTGTGTAAATTTGAGATTT